CAAACGACGATTTTTCCATCGTTTAACCAAGAGTACAAACATTTGTGTACGCTTTGTCAGCGCAATTTCGTTGCAAAAATCGAAAAAGCAATTAAAAAAAAAAAAAAAAAAAAAAACGGAACACTAACTTTTTTAAACACCTTCCGGATAATTTATCATAGTGAGAACGATCGTCAGTACATTTCCAGGCATCCATACTAAAAATTCAAAAATACGAATCTTATACTGATCAATCTCTTCGGGACAACGTTGGAATTCGTTTCACCAGCAATGTTGACTGTATCCGGGATGATACGACACGATATTTCTACTACGAAAACATCGTCAAGTATTCCCAGAACGTTTGATGATCGCATTTTCACATACGGAAGCACTTATTTTTATTAGGGGGAAAAAAAAAAAGTGCAAAATATATCAACTTCAAATGACGTACTTATGATCCGATATACGATATTTAATTAATTAAAATCGTGCAAAAAGGTGCGAATGAGCACGACATTCTAAATATCCGTTGATGTACGAACTCGGGACTCACCGAGTCAGTAATCAATAATTGGAAAAAATTGTAGATTCGAACGACGAACCTGGATTTGGGCGCGCTTGACCTCGGTGTAGAGCCAGTTGTCTGTAGAAAAGGCGATCGCCAGGAGGCCAGTGGCAATGATACCGGTTATGGTCGCGAGGGACAGCGTCACCGCGGAACAGGGCATCTTGGTATCCTCTTCTTCTTCTTCTTCTTCTTTTTTCTCTTTCTTCTTTTTTCTTCTCTGTTTTCTTACTGAAATCGGTATTCACCTCACACGGCACCACTGCGAGCTACGATACTGAGAAACAGGTACTCGCCGTCGTCCTCGAGGCTCTCCAGCATCCGTGGAAAAGTGAATCACGAAACAGGTCACGAAAGCCAGGTTTAAAAACCGATTGGTTGGTGCCCAGCAGCCTCTCGATCCGATGGACGAATTCGATCGAATGAGAGGAGAGACGCCTGAACGATACGAGTATTCGATGAAGAAGATGAAGACCGGATATATACTCGGCGATCGACGATCGACAACGTCCTTCAGGGTGCACGATACTCCGCGATACACATTACTACCATTCTCTCCTACAACAACGACACTAACGGCTCGACTCAGCTTGGAGAAAAGCTGAGAGCCCGAGAGCCAAGGAGAGAGAATCGGACTCCCAGGTGGGGATGGATGTAGCCTCAAGCAGGTATATTACCTGTGTTTTACCTTCAGCGGTGCTCAACGCGCCGCGTTCCTTCACACAGAAGAAGCCACCGCTTCTTTTCTTACACCTTTTAGCGAGATGTTTTCGCCAACACAACTGATGAATTCTCTGGATTGTTTCAGTGGCGAGTTTTCCCTGCATTATCGAGCAACTTCTCGACGAATTTCCCACTAATGTTGTTGTCGTACATCAAACGGAACGTGGTTCTCTTTCGCAGTTCTCGTTGGAGATTTCAATGCCTGCCTTCCCTTTCTAGCGTTATAGAATGCTAGACGCAGTTAATTACAAGCGTCAGATGATTGAATATTTCACGTTTGCAATGAAGAATCTTTTGCATTGAATGTAATCTTGATTAATGAATATCGCAGTCACGAACGCACGGAAATCGAGAGAATTTTAGAAAATGAGAACAATCTCTCAGTTGTTGTGGCTGTCTGTTTGCTTTCATAAAACATTCCTTCTGTGTTCTCTTACGAGAGATAATCTCACCACCGGTGAGACGAGATCAAACGCCAGGAGAAAAAGCCTAGAATTCCTTTCATTCTCCAAACAAATTGCGAATTCCTTACTCATCTTTTCGACTCATTTTAGTCTTCGACATCACGGATGTCCGTAGGAATACATTCGCACATCTGCCGGTGTATATGGATAAATGATCTAATATTTATTATGTAATGATAGAACGTATTTATTGTACAATACATGAATATATTCTAATAATCGAACTTTCACCCATAACGTAAGGCGTGGTGTCACGTACAAAACCGATTGTACTTAAATAAAATCGATTGTATATTTACAGGATTCTTCAACTTAATGTACAATTTATGACAATTAATGAAATAAAAACAAAATAGACGTTACAAATGTATTAATTGAAGTTTATTAATGAAGGGTCATATGATGTGCCCTCGAATGGAGATCCTTTCGCGTCCCAAGCTTTCTTCAGTATCTTTTCCATTTTCTGCACGCAAAGGTGTTTGTATTAAAAATTTATTCTTAAACGCGTAAGTTTCATAACCTCTCGCACACACTTACAATCTGTTCGCTAGTTGGTTTACCCAGAAGCTTCTGCTGATGGTTCCACATTAATTCTTGTACTTTCATTTGTTCTTCCACTGCCATTTCATCCAAATTTCTCGAACAGTCTATTTTAGTTAAATCAATTTTTGGTTCACCGACGATCAATGATTCCCACCATCTCTCTGAAGCTTTTTCAAGATGAATCTACAACAAAATGAATACCATGCGATTTACACGTGTGCTATTAAGACACCATTTATTAAGACATATTAACTAACATTAATATGTTGTTCAGGCACTATGCTCCATACTGACTCATCTTTTCGAACTTTAAAGCACAATTCCCCCTTAAAGATTGTAGTCCATACAAAATACCGACATTCCTCTACGTCCTGATTTTGTTCGACTCTCGATGTCCTTGCTTCTATCTTAATTTCTTTCGAATCAATGTGAACTCTCAAGTCTTTTGTCGTTTTTATGCAATTAGGTAGTTTTACCAGCACATCTATATCACTAATAGTTTGTGACCAAGTATAATTTTCCCTCACTGCACCATTGTAACTGTCAGATGACCTATCTCTGTGAATTAAATGACCATATTGATTTGTGCTTTCTCTGTACGTTTCAATTTCTACTTCGTGGTCAACTTGTGGAATATCTTCTTCTATGGTCATTGATTCATCTTGTTCCTTATCGCTATTTTGGATGATAATATCCTGCGTGATTAGAGAATCTGTACCACTGGGAAATTTGGAGATATTCTTCCATTTTTGAAAACTATGCAAAACAAGATTTTCTATCGTACCAACTGGAAATCCAAGTTTTTGGTCTAACCCGGATTCAACATAAAAATCTGTACTGCAATCAAATTACAACAAACTTTGAACGTTATGAAAATGATATGTACATTTTCATTACGATACATTTACTTACCATCTGTACAAAAATCCAAAAAATGCATCTAAAAAGTTTGTAATGTCTCTCTCTTCTTGTAAAATTTGCAAAAACGCTTGATCATGGATAGAACACATTGCGGAATCCTTTGAGTAATTTTTAACGGTTCCTAAGTGACTCTCAACGATCGTCTCATTTATTGTCAACGTATTCTCGTGAATAGGTTATGTTATGTTAAATATTCTTTGGACATTTTCTTCATCATACTATTTTAAGAATTATTGGTCGTATCTTGTCTAAACTAGAAAATTTCCGTTGTATTGCAACTAGAAAACTATTAATGCTTTCCTCTATAATTTTAAATTCTCTATTTTTTTTTTTTCGTATGTATACTATATTATTGAATTGAATGATAAGTGACATGAATTTATCATAAGCGCCCTCTTTGATATGTCACTTGAATTATTTTTTTGTTTACGTGTTTTTGTTTACATGTTTTGAGAATAGTGATGTTGATCAAAATTATATGGGATCATGTTTTGAATTGATGTTTCACCAAATTTGAAAAAAACTCAGAATTTTTCTTATGTTCTCTGCGAGTTACTAAAGTAAGAATTATACTCAACCATAGACAAGGTACTTACAAAATAGGTGGTGACAGATTTGTACCTGATCCTGTAGATCCGATATATTGCAGCTTTCAAATTAGCTTTTAATCTACAAAATCCATCCATTTAAGATCCATTTAATCTACAAAAAGTATGAACAAAGATTTACGAGTTCTACCTAACAGATTCGAACGGCTTTGTTTCATAATTACAAAATGTAAACAACTTTATGTTTTCACGCAGTTAATTCCTTTTAGCTTATGCCTTCAATTATATCCAAACTTAATTTTCAAGTTTCGAATGTAATTTACGAGAAATGATGTTTCCATCTGACGTTTCCATCCACAATTTGCAAATCTTTGTTTCTGAATTTCATAGGTCACATGGAATACAGAAAGAAAGTTTACGATCTAGTTTAAAAAACGCAATTATAAGAGATCGTAAATTAATTCTGTAAATTAATTTTTTTTCATAAGTCAAATGAAAATTTGGTCAATTTATGGAAATACTAGCATCACAGCGATAAAATTATAGATATTATTACTGCCCTTGTCGCACATTATCTTGCGTGTATGTTAGATAAGTAGCTCATCTGTGCAAGTAATAATAAAAAATATGATAGGAATATGCTATGTACTGTCATTTATCGGATTCGATTATAATGAAAGGATTTAATATGCTTCGATAGATAACAGTATCTGATTTATTCCTAATAGATATTTTCCAATAGGTGACAGCACGTCACAGAAATGAATCGATAACGTCATATGTGACACACGAAAAATCATTGAATGTCAAGTCTATTTTGTACTTGTGATAGTGACAAAAAAGACTATGTAAACAAAGTAGTTTGAAATATAACAAAAAGTATTATTACAAAAATAAAAGTAAATTTTACTCATATTTCTTAAACTAAATAATTTTATAGAACATTTTGCAATTTTTTAACCTTTTCTCTCAAGTGAACTAATGCAGTCTGAATTTACTTCATTGTATATTTAAATTATACAAAACTATTCTTACAATGACTGATTTACCTGTTTTTACTTCGGAAGTTGCAAAAGGTACATTCGAAAGTTCATAATATCTGTAGTCTTAGTATGTCTTTAAAGATTCTTATAGATAAAAATAATTGTTTTCAGCTGTTTTAACCGACGTTCTAACAACATTAAATACTCCGGAAAATACTCAAAAGCTTGCAGAAGCTAAGGAAAATTCTGGAAATGAAATGCTAAAAATGATGCAGTTTGTTTTCCCAATTGTCGTACAAATTCAAATGGATGTTATTAAAAACTATGGTTTTCCAGAAGGTCGGGAAGGTAAAGGACTCAAGTATATTTTCATTTCTGTAATCAAAATTGATCGCAATGTTTATTATAATTTATTGTTTTCGTTTCTTTTTTTATTTTAGGTACAGTTCAATTTGCACAATTACTCAGAACTTTAGAAAGGGAAGATCCTGAAATAGCACAGTTACATAGTCAAGTTCGATCATATTTTCTTCCCCCTGTTACTATAAGTTCTTCAACTGAAGCATCTCTCTAAAATAAAATAACTTTTTTGTACGTTCACACAAATATTTCACTTTGTACTTTCTCTTTCTCTACGTAAAAAACATAGAAATCATCTAACTTACTGTTTTAATTTCGTAAGAAGTTTAGAGTTTTACAATTCTGATGTTATAATTCGAATTTTTTGCAGAAAAAGATATGTACAAGGGATCTTCAAATTAAATATTTAATCAAAAAAATTAAAAATTTTTACATTTATTTGTATAATAATAATAATAATAATAATA